TATATTATGCTGCTATCCTGTATATATCGTACTTATTATTGTCTGAGTACTTCGGTTGTTTTATTGTAGCTTTTATATTTTACATCTATATTTATTATTGCATTTTGCACCAAGGGAGTGGCACTCCAATTTCGTTGTACTTTGTACAATGACAATAAAAGCTATTCTATTCTATTCTATTCTATTCTATTCTATTCTATTCTATTTCTTTTGTAACCTGCAGTCAGCGGGAGTTATGAGGGGCTTGTATTCAAATAAAGACACGATCTTTATAACTCAGTGTGACTGTAAAAATACATTTATCCCGGCTGAGTTTCTGCTGCCCTCTTTGGCCACATAGAAACTGATTTTTAACGTCACTTAATTATTTTCTCAATAAATTCAATTTTGTTCGACTTTTTATTTATTTTGTATTTTTATTTTATGAAGAAGCCACGCTGTGAAAACTGCGTACGGAATCCAGCCTGAAAGTTGTTCCTGCATCAAAATGACGTGAATTCATTTACAGCAGAGACCAACTGGTTTACGACAGCCAGCCATGTGTACCTAATAAAGTGTCCGAAGACTGTGGACAGTAAATACTTTGCAGCCGTTTTTTCCTGCAGTCATTGAAGGAAACACGGCTCCATTGTTCCTGTGAAACGTCTGAGAATAAACGCGCTTTGTCACCTTTAACATTTACAGAAACTTTAAACCAACTGAAGCTTTTCGTGACGTGAAACTTGTTTTTCTGTGCTGATCGTGGAAAACTTCGGCGTGTGTCAGCAAACCGCAGCTGCTCTCGTCCTGTTTTGATCAGCTGACCTGCCTCGGTCACATGACTCGGTCCTCTTCCTCTGCTCGGCTCCTCTGAGCACGAGCGCGATCACACACCTGAAAGCGCCGCTGGATCACAGCTGCAGGGCAGGTGGAGGCACCGCGGGTGGAGGAGCCGCAGAACTCCGCGTGGAAAACGCAGTTTTAGGTTTCGGCTCTGCGGCGGCTGGAAGAGAGCAGCCTGCGTTCAAACAAGAGTCCCGCTGAGGGTTTGACGGAGGCCGAGACGGAGGCGTGTTTCTGGGTTTTCACCACTTTGTGTGTCGGTAGGTAAAGAGGAGAGAAGTGAGGACGAGTTAAATGTTAAATACATTTAAAAGCAGAGTCGAGGTAGAGTCAGGGAGCTGACTACAGACAGACAGATAAGAATAGTTTTATCTCAGGATGTTTCACAGAGACCATAAACAGGATCAGAGGTCAAAGTCAGCGGCTGCACCCACAGCAAAGATCAGAGCCTCATTAAACCCTGCAGCTCCGCCTCACCTGCATGTTACAAACTTCTGCTGTGGTTTTCCATCGCGAGCTTGAAGCACATCCTGCTCCCAATTCCTGTCATGCTGGACTCGACTAGAGCAGCTTTGCATGATTCATAGTTCATAATAATCCTCCTTTAGCTGGTTACTTTTTGTAAACTGTAAAGTTTGCTTCTCCACCTGAGATGCCTGTGTCAGGGGAAACTGATAAACAGGAATAAGTGCTCGCACTGTAAGAAGCTGTGGTCGTGTTTAACATGAACATCGAAAGATTTGTGACAGTTTGATTTGTTCTGCTGTGTGTCCCAGTCGTCTGCAGCTGAGCGGTGGTGTTTGCGGTGTCACCTGCTGAGAGGACACAAAAACCAAAAGCATGCCGTCCAACAAATCGGTGTCAGACGCTCCCATCACTCAGTTCATCAACTGCAGGATCCTGAGGGACAACGAGCTGCAGAGGTACGACACACACACACAACAACACTGCAAAAAGAGCC